TTGGGTGGTGTCTATGATTCGTGTAAGGTCTTTTCAATGTTTAAAATATTTATGGGATTCCAATGTTGCAATGCACCACTCAACCAAAAACATGTTCATTAGATGTGCCATTTGACAAACTCAAATTACTTGAAATCGCTCTTTGACAATCCCAATTATCATCAAACATTGTTTTCAAACGAAGTTGCCGCCTTTTCTTTAATCAGAAAAAATAATGTCAATAATGTTTGTTTCTTAAAGTAATTATATGTCACACATCTCCATCCATTCAATGTGACCACTCTATGCAGAGGGTCCCACTCATCAATTTGGATGCATTATAGAACAAATTACACATTCATTCCTTCCATTCAATAACTATTATTCATTAGGGTTTGACGTTTCTCAAATATAGTTTAAAGCTACGCTGAAAATTTATAGATTGTACATTTGGGGTGAATCATATCAAGTGCTAAATAAATAAATTAGTCACTATTTTCAGCATAAGGTTGACAGTTGATTCAATTAAAAATAAAAGTTAGGTGAAATTAAAAAATAACAATAACAATTAAATGCTTCTGTGTCATCAACCTATAATTTAAAAAGAAAAGAGAATAATTAGTCAATTTCATGGAACAGAGTTTGATCCCTATAGAGGTGGGTGGCACAGAGAAATTCAGAGAAGAAAAAAAAATGTGGTTCTTCTTGACAATAATACAAGTTGTTCAATGAAAAGGAAAAGCTTCTATCATAATAAAGGCTAGAAAATCCAATGTCATTGAACTGCGTAGCAATTTATTTAATGGCCGTAATCACAGCCAAACGCAGGCCAAAGGATTAAGAAAATAATAATAATAACTTCTATCGCAGATTGTGTCTACTTTTGCAGCAAAACATAAAAGAAAACCATTGATAAAAAGTTAATTAATATTTTATCAAATAACTTTATTTTAATTTTAGAAATATTAATTAACTTTTTTACCGTGGAAAGAAATGATAAGGGTGGAATCAGATTCACGTGTTGTGGAGGGCATGCCGGTGATAAAGGGACATATGGTCCTGATCCTATGGGGCCCACAAGAATGCTAAAGATCCCTTCTCTCTTATTTGTGTGGGACCCTTTCCAAGTGAATCAAATCAACAAACAAAGTTATGTTTTTCTCTGCTGCCTTTTCCCCTATGCCTATGAAATCAATGCCTAAATTTCCTTTGCCCCACTTAAGTAGAACTCATTTTGCAACTTTATTAAATTCATTATTATTGAATAACTCATCATTAAATAAATTTAATATAACTAGACTACAATTTGAAGGTAAATTTTATAATTATTGAAAAATTGTGGTATATTTTAATTGATTAATAAAAAATAATACGAATAAAAGACACATTTAATAATACCACAGTTCAGTGGAGTTGTGTGTGAGGACCGCAATGATATTAATGCGAGGTGGATGAAAGGTGGCAATATATTTTTACCATATTTGTTGGATTTACCATGAATCTGCCCCAATATAATTGGAACTGATTCCCACGTGATTTTGCTACTTCGGAAATTGTTTCTTTATTTACTTTTTTTTCTTCACCTGTTAGTTTCAGAAAATTTTAAACACTGTTAAATTTCAATATAATACCTTATATTAAATAAATCAATGATACATATATACATTATTGTATTAACCTATAAAGTCACAGATAAAAAAAAATTCAAAATTTTGAAAGAGTGACAAGTAAAAAAGAAAAAAAAAGTATTTTATTATAATATGCTAATAAGTGCCTTTAACACATTGATTAAGAATAAAAATATTTTATTAGAAAATGTAAAAGTGTATTCGCTCACATATTATATATATATATATATATATATATATATTAATAAAAAAATAGTTATTGATTTTGTAACCAGCACTCTTGTGGCACTTGTTGGTAAGATCCTTTTATTAAACTTAGAATGCGTTGGTTTTTTTTTTTTAAACTTCAACAATTGAGGTTGAATTTAAGTAATTAAAATAATAAAATTTTATTTAAAAATATATTTATTGCATTAAAGTTTTAAAAGTGTGATAAATATTATTTTAATAAAAATTTATTATTATTAATTACTTTAACTTAAATTTAAAGATTGAGATTAATTTTTATTTTAATTCATAAGATAAGAGCGTTAAATATTTTAAATTTTAAAAATATCATATAAATTTTTATCTTTTATATTTTAGAATATTTTAATCCATAAACTCATATATTGTAAATGGACGGTAAAAAAACATATAGCAAAAATAATGTAAATTTTTATTTTATTTTAGTTATTGATTTGTTTATTAAAATATTTTAAACTTTAAAAATATTATTAATAAATATTTTAATCTTTAATTTTTAAAATCTCATAAATTAATAAGAAATCTTACCTCTTTTTTATAATTAGGATTGAAAAATCTTTGTTACCAAAAAAACTAATATAAATTATTTCTTATTAATAAGATTATAGGTAATCTTATAAAAAAATATGAATTTTATAATAATAAATAATTTTTATTAATATAAATAAAATTTTTTATATTTTAATTTGTGTAAAAAACACAAATAGGTATTTTATTAAAAATAAAAAGGGGAATAATAGCATAGAGGACTGAGTCTGGCACGTTGGCAGCCTGGGCATATTTTAACCGGGTGCCGTGAAATCTCAACAACCGGATCTTATTTGTACCCACAAAATAATAATTAGTCAAAAGACCATCCTCTTATTCCGTACCGTACAACCCAACCTCGTTCGCACTAATTTACTATTTTTGTTCTTTATTATTTCCTGGACCACCATTTTAACTTTTACTACATTTAGATGCATCCCTTTTATTGTTTTTAGGAAAAATATTATTCTTATAAAAAGAAATATAGAAAGAAAATTATTAAGTTAACAAAATTACAAGATTGAATATCTAAATTAATTCTTGAAAAAATTATAAATACTTTAACTGTTGAAATTTGAAAAGACGATGACTATTTATTCATTTGAAAATTATAAATACTATATTATTTTTATAATTTTCACCTAATAAGTAAAAAATTTATAATCTCTACGATATAATAAATTGTCATTAAACACACGCTGGCATATTGCCGTGAATCGTGGTGTCGTACCAGCCAATTTGACACAGCAACGATAGTATATCTACCACTGCGACACCAAGAAAACGCTGTCGTTTTCTGCCAACAATCAGCAATACATTGCTGTAACAATAATTAAGCTTTGCAGATTCCTAGACACTTCTGCAGCTCTCTCAGTGTGGGATTTTTTTTCATTTTTATTTAAAATAAAAAAGCTTAACTACTTTTTAAAGATGTAGAATATTATTAAAAATTTTATTTTAATTTATATACTTTTTATATTTAATTAATTTTAATTTTTAAGCAAGGATAATATATTTAATCTGTAACATTATGTAATTTTTGGTAAAAGTACTGTACATAATTTTTTATTATATTTTTAACGTTAAATAAAACGATAAAAATATTTTCACACTATAGTTTATATCATGTCACTTTTTCTTAGTCATTGATGAAAAAAATTAAATTAAGTTATAAAATTTAAAAAAATTATAAAATTAATTTTATAAAATTTATAAAGATGAATTTTTTTGAAAATAATTAAAGATATATTTATTCTTCAGCAATATAATGATAATTTGATAATAAATAATTTATTTGAGATTAAGTTTTAGAAAGTAAACTTATATATATATAAAGCATATTTTATATTTTTAATAAAAAAGTATTACCTTTAAACGTTTAAACGCGATTCTTAAAAGATTAACAATATAGTAAAATAAATGTTAGCATATTTTTGGAAGTGTACTCAACAACCAGTTCCGGTGTCGTTTAGTGCATAGGCTTTTGGCCCCAGCAGGGTCTGAAACACTGTGGCGCATAAAAGAGGAGAGAGAAAAGGCCGTTGCAGGCACTCTTCATCGAAACAGCGACATTTGCGCGCGTCCTACGTGTCAGATTTTGCCGCACACCCTTCGCTTTCAGGTACACGTTGACTTCACGCGCGTTTTTTCACGCGCATCCTCCACGCTCCCTGTTCGTACCTAGTTTCTGTATTGGAAGTACTATACCTAGCTGTCGGGTAGGTGCGCATCGGGCCCCACACGCGCCCTTTCCTTTTTACCTTTTTACCCTTTTCCACGTTTCCGTGCAACCTCGCCTGAATGCGACACCCCGACCCAAAAATATTTTTGCAAGGGAAAAATTTAAAGAAAATTACTTTTTTTAGTTGAACACTTGAATGATGCAGTAAAATAAAATTAAAAGAAAAAAAATCAAGTCCATACGACTCGTTAAAATATTCCCTTGACAAGAAAAGTAAAAAAAAGAGTACTCAAATTATGAGAGATAATTTACCTTTGTATTCATCTTTCTTTTTTATTGTATAAAAATCATTTCAATCATTTACTCACTTTGTATTTTCTAATGCATCGGTTCACTTTGCATTTTTTAATTGACGGAAAAATAATATTATTTTCTGTGAAAAACAAAAAACATGAAAATATAAACTAATTTGAAAAAATACATATAAAACACCCAATCTTATTTATTAATAATTTGAAATAAACATCAAATTTAATCTTTCAAAAAAATTTCAACTTTACTGAGTCCTTAAAATAAATAATATATTTGTTTGTTTTAGTTAATGTTTTCATTCACCAATTTGAGGATGAATTAATTGATAAACGATTCACTTTCATAGAGTACGGGGGATGGAAAGGAAATAGTTAATTCGGTCTTCAAAAGCTATTTAATCAAATTTACTCTATGAAAAACCATTTGACACACTGACTCAGGGTAGAAGAATCCAATCACCTTTATCAGCATTGACTCAATTTTCAAACACCAATTTAATTTAATTAAAATAACCCAAAAATAACACCAGATCAAGAAAAAAAATGTTAGGGTGCAACTCTCTTTTGTTTTGTTTTTCACATTTTATTTTGTTAAAAATATTTATATGATAAAAAAAATAATTTATCTTAAGTCATGTTAACATGGACACTGGCATTTTTGAAGGATTTACACACAGGACAAATGTGCAGTGTAGACCCACAAACAGTGCAGAGGCAGAGGTGCCGGCAGGGCAAGATTAGCACGCACGATTCCTCTTTCCCACACTTCCTACACAATCTTCTCTCGTCACCACCGTTACTATTATTCATTACTCCGCCTGTTCCTTCCCCTTCCTTGTCCTGCGCCCCCGTCGCTACCGTGCGCCATCCTTCCTCGTTGCTTCCGCAGCACGACTCCGCGTCCTCCTCCTCTGCCGGCGGAACCCCGGCACCCTCTCCGCCGTCTGCACCGACCTGCGAGAGCACATGCTCTAGGTTGGTTCGGAGGGCATTGGCTGTGGCCTCGTTTGTTTGTGCCAGGTCTCGCCATATCTGGTTTTCAATGCACAAAGACTTGACTTTCTCTTCCAATGCATAGTTCAGTTTCTCTATCTTCAAAATCTCTTCCTCCTTTGCCTTTAGCCTCTTCATCATCCCCACCTCAATTGCTTCCATTAACCTTCTCGCTTGCCTCTTCCTCTTCTCCTCCAATTCCACCCTCACCTTCTCCATCTAAACAAACATAAAAAAAATTAACATTTAGCCATAAATTTTTATTTAAAAGTATTAATCATACTTTTATACTTTTAATATAATGAATCAATTCTTATTGAGAAAAGTTGATGGAATAAATATTTGAGTAACGTAAGATTTTAATATTATTAATTGTGGATATTAAAAGGGGAAAAAAATCAAAATTTGAATTAATCGAGATTAGGGCAAGGGAGTTACGTGGTGAGAAATGAGGTTGTCGAGATCGAGTTGTTGGCGGTGGATGTGGAGAGAAATGTCTTCGCCGAGGAAGGAGAAAGTGTCGGTGTTGTTCTTGTGATACCAAGGGAAATGGCAGCTGCTGATTGAGTCTCGGGATCGCTTCCTGGGAACCGAAACGACGTTGTCGTTGTTGTTGTAGGAGAGAGTACTGTTGTCGGATTTCAAGGTGGCGGTTTTGTTAGGGAGGGGATTGTACGGAAACGGTGGCGCCGCCGAGAAGAGAGTATCCGAGGCGGTGATGGTGACGGCGGAGAGAGGCAGCATGGAGTGATTGATTGTTTGGGTATTGTACATGTGGATGATGCTTGCGTCTATTGGGTTGGTCAATATTTCTCTGCAGATTCATAAAAAAACAGCAGTTATATCAGAAAAGGGCAATTGTAATGATTATAAATGAATAATAAGGAGTGAGAAACAGAGAAGGAGAAGAGAGAGATGCACTCACCGGTTGGGTATGAGTTGCGGAGGGAAAAGGTTAATACGACGAGCCTCAACAGCCATCCCTGATAATATTTCTCTCTTCTTTGTTGTGGTTGATAGGTTGGTTGCTTTGCGTGTATGAAATAGGGGTTATATTCGCGTGCTTTTGCTTGGGAACGGAGAGGAGAGATATGAATGGGTGTCAGAGAAAAATGAACAAAGCATGCAATAGCTGGATGGTGGGGTTTATTCAGGGTATGCTTCCCTCCCCACTTTATTATTTTCTTTAAATACTTTCAATTTTTTAAATTAATATGTAAAACAGAGAGAGAGAGAGAGAGAGAGTGTGTGTCTGCGTGTGTTTTATTGTAAGATTTTGTCCATTTATGGATTGCCAAGTTCCTAACCTACCCAGATTTGATCCTGCTATATTTGCACCATATTTTCAGCTATATTTTAATTCCAAGCACCCTGTTTTTAATGGTAAATCTTAATCTTTAATTTGGTCATTGGAAGATTTTGAAACAGTAATACAGTGAAATATTTATTTTTATTTTTATGTAAAATTTGTTCAAATTAACTTGTTTGATAAAAGCTCTTAAATAAATAGTTAGATTAGTTAATATTTTATTTTATAAAAAATATTAAATAGTACAAATGCAGAAGTTGGAAACCATAATTTCTTATAGTAATGCATTATTAGAAAAGATAAAAAAGGAGTGCTAAAAAGAGGATTTAAGATTTGTAAATTACTGACAGATAGGGTAACTGCCACGTAAGTGCTGCCGACTATGGCCTGTGGAGTAACGTTGGCATGCTAGAGTCCAAAAACTGATCCACTTTCCCGTTTCTCCACTGTCATACTGAACAGTTTTTTCTATTTAATTCTTTAACTCGCCGTGGCTGCCTCGTGTTAACTAAATTAAATATCCAACTTGAATCGTTTTAAAATAATTCTTTTTATTTTAAAAATATTATAAATTTAAGTTATTATATGATAAATTTATTCTATTCTTTTCATTCATTTACTAATAAAATTATATAATTTAAAACTAATATTTTAACATAGATTCAAAGATATATGATAAAAATATTAATAAATAATATTTTTATTAAAATATTATATTTACTTTTGGAAGCATTAAACAGATCATTTAAGAATATGTATTTAAATATTAATTATTTAAGAATTTTTAAAAAAATATTATTTTCTTTAAGAATAACAATTCTCATAAATGTTGTCTATTGAAAATAAAATTTTATAATTCATTAATTGCATAAACATTTTCAACCATTTTATAGTTGCAAAAATTAAAAAATATATAACAATTATTAAGTTATATCACATTAACGCTTTTGAATGATTTTTCCTAAAGTCTAAAAAAATTTTAAACACAGACCTGAACGCACACACCACACATAATAATTTTTATTAAAAATTATAATATTTAATGTATTTATATTCTATATATTATATTTTTAATAAAAAAGTATTATTTATTGGTTTTTTTTATCATATTTAACTTGGCATATGTCAAAAATTTCTCAATATATAAATATTAGGATTTAGTGCCATTAAATGATAAATTTAATAATTTTATTAAAAAAATTATCAATTAAACTAAAGATATATTGTTATCAAGTCTATAAAATTTATGATTATTTAAATATTAATTAATAAATGATATTTTAAAAATAAAAATAAATATATACTTTTAAAAATCATAAGAATTAGTTTTAAATTTCTTAAATTTCTTTTTTAATTAAAATTATTAAAAATTTTATTTTATTAAATTTAACATTAAATGCTACTTAATCTAAACTTATGTATATTCCGATGATGAATATATTTATATTAAATTTAATAACATATATTTTAAATAATAATACATGTAATTTAATATTTTGATTAATTCAATTGATTTGTTATAGAAACGTTTTAAAGGTGTTTTTTTTTACTTTAATATATATTATGTCTTAATCTTATCCTTGTATATGAAGATTTTTTAATATTTTTAAATTAATTAATAATAAAAAATGTATTTATTACATTAAAAAATTTACTTTTTAGTTAATATGTAAGAATATTATTTGAAACATTACTGTAGTATAAAATTTATATGTTGTATTTTAGGTATTATTTATGTAAATTAGTTAAAATTTAAATGTAATTTTATTTTAAAAATAATATTTAATATTATTATTTACATATTATCAGAATGAACCTTTAATTTAATTAAAAATATTATAATTATTATTTTTCATTACGAAAAGCAGAATAACGTGAAGTTAGTGAGGCCCACGAAGGGAACACGTGCGTGTCTATGATGTGGGGGAACAGTACAAAGAGTGACGCTAGGGTAGGCACGTGCGAGGTGAGGACCTCTTTTTTGGCAGTTTTGTTTTGCTTTTATGATTTAGGGAACCGGTTCAGTCATGCCGGTGGCGTGGGAAACGTTGCTTCGTGTATTGGACTTTTCTTATGCCACGTGGCGCCTTCTCGTTGGAGCACCTAACATGTGCTCGCTGGTCCACCTGCAAACTACGTCGTTGACAGAGTAATCTCAGCCGTTCGATTTTTCAACGTCTGTTGATCTTTCCTGTTTGGAAACATGTAATTTGTATTTTCCAACTACTCTTATTCAAGGATTGGGCTTCGGAGATGTATAAACTATAAACTGAGAAAATGAGTTTTCTTTTTTAAATTTTAAAACTAATTATGTATAATAATAGTTAATTTCAAATTAATGATTCACATCTATTTTTTTTATTTCAAAGGAGTTAAATTCGTATTAAAAAAATAACTAATTCGGCTAATGCAAAATGCAAAATGAAAATATTAAAATTAATAAAAAATGAAAACAATTTATTGAAAGTTTAATATTTAAAATTTGTAAAGATAAAATTTTAGAATTACATATATTATTTTTAAGAGAAAGTAGACTAAAAAGTCAAGTAACTTTGTTGAGAATGTAGACTTGATGACAAAAAAGATAAATTGCTTAAAAACATTTTATACATTGACCCATGAATATAGTTTATAAATGATAATTTGAAAAGAAACACAGAATACCAAATTCAAAATATTAACCAAATGAATAATAGTCTTATGGAGCATGATCCAAGATGGTGGATCACCCCACCAGCCACAATTTGGTAATCGACAGCAGAAGATGCTAACATTTCAGCTACTCTGTTTCTTTTCTTCAAAACCAAAATGAAAAGCAAATGAAAACTAGTAATTTCTTTCTATAACGCATAAGTATCATTAAATTTATTTTTACAAATAAATTATTTAAAATGTAATGTATGATTATTTTTAAATTTAATTAATTTTATAAATTTAAAAGAGTAAATATTATCATTATCAATAATAACTATTATATTATAAAATTAAATCTAAAAATAATTCAAAATTTGAATTAAAAAATAAAAATATAATATTAAAAAATCTCTTTTAAAATTAATCTTTAAAATGCTTTTGTTTAAAAAAGATAGAAAAAGTATAATTTAAACTTTAAGGGATGAGAGCTTAATTTGATAAATGTTGTAGATATTGGGCTTTTAGCACTGCACGCATTTCTTCTCCTTGTAGAATGGTGTGTGTTTTGACAAGTCTTTATAGCTCATGGATCTGAATTCTGAGAGCTGTTACTCAAATCACACGATTTAGAGTTAAAAGGAAATTAACATGAACGAGAATTGGCTAAAGTTACTATTGACTGTAAAATAATGTTTATAATGAAACTATAAAGATATTGATTGTAATTAACTTTAGCGCTAGGATGTCATGTAGCCATGTTAGGTACTCGCCTACATTATCACTAGAGTCGAACAACTTTTTTAAGTCTTATTTTTATTTTTCTCATTAAATATCTTCCAAAATGATAGTACAATACATTTTTTTATTAGTATAAAGTTTTAAAGTCTATACTAATATTTTACTTTTTATTAATAAAGACTATATTAGTAAAAGTAATTCTACAATAACCCTTAAGTCTTATTTCATTAAGAGGAGTTAACTACATAAATTACACTATATCATTAAATTTGATCAAAAATTAATTTTTGAAAAATTTGATTAATTAAAAAAGTCTTTTTTAATATATAATAATGTATACAAAAATAGTATTGTAATGCAACTTTTTTTTATCAATTAAATTGATTAGAAACTTTTTTACTCAACCCATCATACCATAACTCTAATTTTAATATTTGTATAATTTTAGATACAACTAAATTTAGATTTTTATTATACTTGTTTTCCTTAATCACTTCTTTCTTGAAAAACTAGTTTTGAATAGTATAGACTATGAGTTCCTTACCACTAAAAGTCACAAAAAATCTTTAAAATTATCATCAAATTCAAGATGTATATAAAATTAATGTGAAAGTGATAATAAATAAAAATTTCATTAAAAAAATTAAATAATAAATTTTAGTGACAAAAAAAACTAGTGAGAAAACTTTTAAAACTTAAAAATCAACAACCTTACACTTTCAGCTAAGGTAATTCTTCTTATTTCCCTTATTTTAATAGGATTGAGTTATTCCCTCTTACACACAAAACCTAAACCAAAATCTTGATTAACTTACTAGTAAAAGTAAACACATATTAGAATTTTAAAAAAAGAGAAGCAAAATTATTAGACAAGGTGGAGAAAGAAAAGAGAAAAAGGTTAGGGTTGAGAGAAACTTGTATTTGTAATAGATTCAAATCAAGTTATGATTAAAGGCTAAGAGAAATAATTAATAACTGATTTTGACGTGAACGAGTTAGTTGAGCCAAAGCTATATATGGATGCTGAGATGGAAAATCAAACAGTATGCAAAAGTGAAAGGAAGAAGCTAGAGAATGTGCGGTTGAAAGGATTCCATGTGTTAAGGACTTGAAGTATTAATAGATTGAAGGCAATGGTGGTTAGGGAGGATTTGTGTGAACTATCATTTTCTTTTAAATCTTAGATTCTCTTTTTGAAGAAATTTCTTCTTCTGTTTCTTCTTCCTTATGGATTCTTTGTTTGAATTCAAATGAAAATTTGGTCAACATTTCTCTTTGAGTTGGTCAATTTCGTTGTAAA